AAGATGCCTCTTGTCTGAATGCTTATTCCCCTTTTGGTTTGAAGAAATCAGGGCTGAATGTTCAACAGGCTGTTCAACTGGTTGTATTTGAGTGTCAACTTGCATCTCTTTYCTCCTAACCTCTTCATTCCTTACTAGATAATAGACATGATGTAAATCTGGCATTTCATCCCTTCCCAAAATTTGAGACCTTATGCTCTCATATATTGGGTTTAAACCAGCCAAGAACTTAAAGGCTCTACCCTCTTCAGTTAGTTTATCATGCCTCTCATTGTCTTTTGCATTCTCCCAATCAAGAATAAGATGGTGATCAAGTTCTTCTCGTAGTCCTTCTAGGGTTGCAAAATACGTTGCAATTGTCATATCTCCTTGTCTCAATGCAGCAATGTCTTGGTTTAGCATATAAATTCTGGCATTGTTCTTTCTCTGTTCATAAGTTTTAGAAACTTTCTCCCAAATGTTAGCAGCAGTGGGAAAGTGTTGAATAGTCCCGGTCACTCTTGGAGTCATTGGAGCAAGCGACCAGGACATAATAGTAGCATTTTCCTTACGCTATACTGCGTACTCCACACTACCCACTTCAGGTTCCTTCTTCTGTCCATCTAAATAACCCGTGAGTTCCCGGTAAGTAATGAAGAGCATGGCTGAAACAAACCATTCTCTGAAGTTGTATTCATCCAACAATACACTGGTGATCTGCAAGCTGTGCGGATTTGGATTTTCCAAATTAGGAGACCTCCCACCAGTTCTATTATCCCTAGAAGACACTTCTCCCGATATTGAAGACATCTCCTTCCTCTTACAGTGATCACAATTGAAAACTCAGTACAAAGAACACTATTTCAGACTTACCGAATCTGTTACAAGCCTGAGAACCCCTCGTAACAGGTCTGAAACCAAGAACAATCCACCTCTGTACTGTGTTGAACACTTCTGGACTAAGAAGAAGAAGAAGAAGAAGAAGAAGAAGAGAAGATTTGAGAATGGCGGCTCATCTACTTCAGCCGGCCCTACAATCTTATATAGATGTTTACAAAATAATGTTAGAATGCCCCTGATTAGTGATGGGACACCTAGAAAAATAAAACATTAAACAAGTTTAGGCCCAATAACTAAGGACTTAAGACACAAATATGACTAACATAAACACTAAATCAGCCGAGCCAACATGTAAGATTACTGTTGCTGATGGATCTTGGACCCTATCTCGGGTCAGGGTGAAGTCAAACTCACCCATAACCTTTCTCTTGGATTTGTTTTTCTTGTACCTCAATTACATAAAAATTTGTTGTTTGTTAGTTCCCTTACAAAGTCTCATAATTGCTTTGTGACCTTTTTTTCTACCCATTGTATTTTCCAGGGCTTGAGCATGGGGAAGATGATTGGAAGTGGGTGGAGTCTACCTCTTTGATGGACCTTTAGAGCATGGATTATCGAGTCAGACTGAGTTTTGTTCTAATGAGAAAATGAGTCTTTTGAAATAATGGCACTGTTGTCTTGCTCATGTCTTTTAATTCTATAAAACTTTTGTTTCCAAACTTGTTTAACTCAGTGTCAAAATTGAACCCTAAATATGAAATTTCTCATTTGTCCAAACAATGTAGAACCACATATTTGCAATTAGTAAAAGAAGTAATATTGCTTTCCATTGGTTCATACTGATGTTTGGGGCCCATTGCTATCACTTGCATGGGTGGTTATAAATACTTCATTCTCTTCATTGATGACTATAGTCAGTATGTGTAGCTCTACTTGATGAAGAGTCGGGATGAGGTTCCTATGATTGTTAAAATTTTCATGAATATGGTAGAGACACAGTTTGAGAAAAGAGTTAAAAATAATATCTGACAATGCCAACGAACACTTTGAAAACCATTTGCATGGGTTCCTTGAAGATTAGTGAATTATTCACCAAAGTTATGGCAGTCTCCACAACAAAATGGGGTTGCTGAAAGGAAGAACAATAATGTGGTTGAAGTTTCTTGAGCTTTACTGTTTCAAACTCATGTTCTCACTTGGTTTTGGAATGGTGCTGTTGAGACAACTGTGTATCTCATTAATAGGCTTCAATCAAGGGTGCTTAACCGTCGGTCTCCTCATCAGCATCTCTTCCCTAATGAGCCCTTCTTTAATCTACTCCTCGGGATCTTTGGTTGTGTTTGTTTTGTTCATAATATGAGTTTTGCCCAATATAAGTTTGATCCTAAATCAATTAAATGTGTTTTCCGGAGAGGCTATAAATGTTTTGATCCTCTCTTTGGCAGGAGATATGTTTCTAAGGGTGTTACCTTTTTGGAGTCCTCTTTTTTCCAGTCATCCTGTCATTCTCTTCAAGGGGAGAATGCAAGTGAAGATTTGACTCTCTTTTGTCTTTTTGTTCCTGTCCATGTTCCTCCTTCGCCTCCCTTTCTTCTTTGTAACAATGGTATTCCTTCCCCTTCTCGTCCTCCTCCACCTCTTGTGTATTGGCCTCAGTCTTGGCAGTAGTTTTTCATCAAGCGAATTAAGAGGGTGGCTTCTGAAGTGAATGCCCATCACAATCAGTTCTCCTAGACTTAGGTACTCTTGAACCTCCTAATAATTGTGTTACTGATTTTGACTTTGATCTTCCTATTACTAACTATGTGTCTTATGATGCTCTTTCACCCTCCTATTGTGCCAATATTTCTACTATTTCTTCTGTTTTCATCTCTCACAGTGTTATAAAGGCAATGTAGTCCACTCATTGGAAGGAAGCTATGAACCAAGAGATGGAGACCCTAATAAAGAACCACACTTTGGAGATTGTTCCTTATTTGTCCCCAATCTCACTAGGAACCTTATTTCAATAGGTCAGCTTGTTGATGGTCTCATTCTTACTTTTTCTTCTAATGGTTGCTTGATTCGGGACTGGTACAATTGGGAAGGTGAAAGGGAAGGGGTGTATGCTAGGCCGCTTGTTTGCATTAGAGTTTGAGAAGTCTCTTACAATCGATTCATTAGCTTACTTTAGTTCTTCCTTATCTAGTTCTTTTTTGGGTCAAAAAAACAATTTTTGGAACTTTTGGCGTAAACATTTAGGTCATCCTCATTTTGAAAAACTAAAGCTTTTGTTTGGCTATGGTTTTATTAGAAATAAAATTCTTTCTTTGCAAACATTTGATACTTAATGTGTTTCTGTTGCTTGAGTTGGAGCTGTACTTTGCCTTTTTCTCACAAATATGAGTGTGTTACTTCTTTGTTTGAAATTATACATACTAATGTTTGGACTTCATCTATTACTTCTGGTATAGGATACAAGTATTTTGTACTATTCATTGATGATTTCACTAGGTACACATGGATTTATTTTCTTTGGCACAAATCAGAAGTTTTCCCAACATTTTGTCTATTTCACACCATGGTATGAGTTCGATTTGAGTCTTGTGTACGCATCCTTCGCTTACTATTCATTGATGATTTCACTAGGTACACATTGATTTATTTTCTTTGGCACAAATCAGAAGTCTTCCCAACATTTTGTCTATTTCACACCATGGTATGAGTTCGATTTCAGTCTTGTGTACGCATCCTTCGCTTAGATTCAAGGGGATAATACATCGGTTGAGATTTTCTATCTTAAAGACTAATGGGATACAAGTTCAACGAAGTTGTCCAGATACTCCTCAACGGAATGGTGTGGCTGAGCACAAGAATGGATATGTTCTCAGTGTTGTGAGGACCTTGTTACAAGAGTCACACCTTCTTCCTTTTGTGTGGAGTTAGCTAGTACGGTTGCATTCTTGATCAACTACATTCCTTATTTTATCCTTGCTAATGTTCTCCTTTTTAGAAACTGTTTGGCCGTCCACCGGACTTGTCTACTCATCATGTATTTGGTTGTTCTATTTCTTCTTCTCAAAGAACCATTCAACCTAAAAGCTTAAGCTGTTAGGTGAGGTCCTTAAATAGATTGATATTCTCTAACACGGCCCCTCACACGAGGGCCCATTGGGCTTGAAGCGTGAACAATCACTGGCACACCCATACCTTGTGCTGAAACTTATTTAATTATAATGGGGGTAACAAGGATCGAACACTAGACCACTTGATCAAAATAGCTCTGATACCATCTCAAAGAACCATTCAACCTAAAAGCTTAAGCTGTTAGGTGAGGTCCTTAAGTAGGTTGGTATTCTCTAACACTTCCTTTAGGACTTGTTGAGAATCTTCTTGTAATAATTTGCATCAACTAGTCAGTGAAGACATCAGCTTGGTGACACTTTAACTACATTGGTTGGTTAAGATCTATTGAGAAATAACTGTTTGCAAAGCTTTCAATACATTAAAAGATCATTTTCCATGATAGATGTGCAAATAAGGATATTTATTGTGACCTTGGAAATGCACTTTTATTAACCACCAACCCCTCTCAAAGCAGATACAAAGGAGGAAAGTGACTCCTTTGGCAGTGCATACAAAAAATTCACTACTGCTTGCCAGACATGTTGCTATTGCTTACTGATGCAATGTTCTCAGACTCAGACTAGACCAGACACTTCCGTCAGAGCTGGGAACTTTCAGCCAAAATGGATTTTTGGTTGCCCAATTTCTAGAAATGTTAGTTTGGTCAAGATTAYCCCAATTACATGCACTAAAAGTTGCTATGCCTTCTTATTTTGGTTATATTAAGTTTATTCTTATGTAATTGAATGAAACGGAATGATGAAACAGGCTTTATCTAGCCATCGACCCATGCAGTTGGGATAAGGCTTGGATGATGATGGTGAAGTTTATTCTGATGTAAAATAGCTTTTAAAGAAATCTGAAATCATTTTCTTTTTTAGTTATTTTAATACCTCACATTTTTATTTGATTGAGTTATAAATGCTTGAACCATTCAACTAGTGGCCTAGTCACAAAAATTGTTCCATCTCCGGTCTGAGTCTGACAATATTGATGTATTTTTGAAGTTAGCATAGTATGTGTTTCCATATACATGTTTGTGTTTATCATCTTAGATTTGTGTATGATTCTTCCAGGTAAAAATCCATCACCCGTGTGGGACAAATTGGTATTCAATAAAATAAAGGCAAAATTAGGAGGACGGGTCTGGTTTATGGGTTCAGGTGCCTCACCTCTGTCTCCTGATGTCATGGATTTCTTGAGGGTGTAAGTTGATAGCTTTATGTGGATGGTGCATGTTTGCTAAAGCTGTTTTGCTTCTTTTTAGAAGTGATTGACAACTTTTTTTTTCAGTATAAAATGATTGGCTTCTTGTTGCATAACAAAATTGCATGCATTACTCTAAAAAGGCATCTGTTTTGCTCCTTTTCATTTTAACGAATTTCTTCTTACTATCAAGAAAAAATGCATGCATTACTTAACAGATGCTTTGGCTGCCAAGTAATAGAAGGGTATGGAATGACTGAAGCTTCATGTATTATAAGCTCAATGAGTGAGGATGACAACTTGTCAGGTCACGTTGGCTCTCCTAATCCTGCTTGTGGTAAGTTTTATTTTCTTTTGACATTCAAAGGAAATTTATTCTGTAAACTTTATGATGCACTTGATATATGGTTTTGCATGTCCTCTGTTGCTTATAAGGAGCAATGCTAATTGGTTGACCAAGACTTTCCATGTAGATTTAGCTTATAGCAATTGTTGATAGAAGGTTTAGAATGCCTTTTATTTTATTAAGTTCTGTAGAGAACACTGATGTGRGCCCCACAGCTATGGTCCCACTGTGTTCGTAGGGCAGAAGGTGTTCTAGTCTGCCTAGGGTTAGTTATTGGTCATTTAGTTGTTTCAGTTGTTTTTTATTTCAGTCTTATTTTTGCTCTATTTGTTATGTAAAGACTAAGGGCAGATCTGTCCTTTCCATGTAATGAGCATAACCTAT